CTCTCCCATGTCCCCCCGGAACTGTCAGTCCCATTGTTTTCTCCTCCAGATTGTTCATCCAGCCTGTCCTATCCAGACAGGCCTGCGGAGCATTCTCCTCACTTTTCTGAGCTCTGTAATTATTCATAAACTTTAGTGGTTTTCAGCTGGGATTGAAGTTTATTAAAATCATACCCAAATGATTTTATACCAGGGTGATTGTGTAAAATACCATATTCTTTAGCAAAGTCCTGGGAACAGTAATTGACAGTCTTCTTGCTATTGAATTTTACCTCTTCCCCGGACCTCTTTGAAAGCGGAGAAGGGAAATTTAATTGTCTTTTTTGGGGGTGGGGAGCTGAATCTTGAAAAGAACAGTCTCATTCTCTTCTAACTTCCCTGCATATGTTCAACAGTAATTTAATGCCTAATTTTGTTTTCATGCTGGTTTCATCCTTATGTTGTTTAATGCCTGTAGATTAGACATTCACATTTCTCACTGTACAGTCAAATCAGGTAGCCATTTAGACAGGAACTCAGTGGTAGGGACTTTAAGGCTGTTAAAAATAAGCCATTACCCCCCATTAGCCGTTCATTTAGAGCAGCACTTCACAAATTTTACTGTTTATATGGTCTAATGAGAATCTTGTTAAAATAGAGATTAGGAATAAAGTGATTTGGGGTGGAGTCAGATTCTGCATTTCTTTTACTTCCCAAGTGGTGCCAGTACTGCTCGTAAGTAAAGCAGTGGTTCTTATTGCTCACTGTGGATCATAAACACCTAGAGGGGTTTAAACAAACTGTACCAGGACTTAACACACACACCTGTCCCCCTTTCCTGATTCCATTGGTCTAGGTAGAGCTCAGGCAGCTTGATTTTTATGGTTCCCCAGGTGGTTTTAATTTGCAACAAATGTTAACAATTCTGCTTTTGAGAGCAAGAAAATCTTGACTTTGCAGGATTGCCCGATTGGGTAGCCTTGGAAAAGATTTCTCATCATTATTTGAGACTCCGGATGTTCTTTAGCACAACCGAGACCCATTGACTTTTCTTTGGCTCCAAATTCTCATTGGGTAAATTCAGACTCTTTGAGACTGCAGTTTCAGATATCAGGAGTTTTAATGTAATTCTCTGGTTGTGTCACGAGGGCCATGAGAATGTTCTGAGAGAATCTGTCCTGTCTTGCTGGTGCTGCTTGCAAAAGTAGAAGGGAGGAGTCAGTGTGGGTCAGTTGTTCTTCCATTTGGACCAGCTTCAGGAGGAGGGATTAAGTGTTACATAATTAGACATAGTTGGTCGCACTATTGTCAATGGCATGGGGAACACATTAGTGTACCCTGATCTACTGACACAGTGAAGGAGCTCCCCCCCCAACAAGATGATCATAAAGCTTACACGTGACTGGAGAACTAGGCTTAAAGTACAGAGTTAGCAGTGATGGGTGCACTCCACCCCTCATCTCTCCTCTCCCAGTGTATACACGTCAGAAGATTTGCTGCCTCTTGAGAGTTTAAGGTTTGGGGCTCATAAAAAAGTTTTTCACAAAAGAAAATGTTGGGACTGGCTCTTTTGTAAATCTCTGCCTCTTTACACATCTCTCCGAGGTGGAAAGTGATACTATAATCTCTTTACCCTTGATTGACCCTTTCTTGCTGCTTCTCATGTAAAAAAATAGTCTTAGAACTTTTAACATTATCTTTTACTCTTTCAAGTTGGGGAATGAGATCTGGCTTACCAGTTTTGGGCTTTGGTTCAGTAATCTTGGATCAGTCTTTTGGAAATTAAAGTGCCAAGTTAAATGAGAATATACATGTAAGAGAGCTAAGTCTTTTCATAATTTTGTGCTGGGAGGTCTTCCGAAGAAATGATCATCTTTAACATTTTCTTTGGATTTTCTGTGCAGGATCTTTAAAGTAGTAGGAAGACAAGTGATTGATTTTTTTGTTTTGTTTTTTGTTTTGGTAGCTAAACTCTTAACCCTTCCAAATCCCTTCAGGATCTGACCCTAATCTACATCTCCTTTCCTCTGTCCCCCCATACATACTGTGTGGCTGGGTCACAAGTCTACAGCTAACGTAGGACATTTTTCTTAGTTTACTCTCTACATGTGCTGTTCACTGTGTTTAAATGCTTTTCCAACAAGCAAATTTTTGTCAACTCTTAAAACATAATCCAGGTGTTGACCTATTTATGGAACATTTCCCAACCCCCTTTCTCTCCGCCAACCCCCCATCACCAGCTGGTCATTCGCTTCTTTTTTTTTTTTTTTGGTCATTCACTTCTATGTGTCCCTGTAGGATTTTACAGCATCCTTTAGAATAGGATAAAGGATTATAATGATGTTATAGGACTTTCTTAATTAAACTATAAGCTGTTCAAATGTTGGAATCCACTTGTGTATGTATCTTCTGTATAGTGAGAACATTCACTGTTGGTTGCCTGAATGAGTAAACCAACGTGGAGGACAGAAGATTAGAAAGAATGTGCCTGCTGTCTACTTTTGGTAAAATTTTTGAAAACTGGAATTTTAAGCCTCTGCTGCTCCACTCTTAGTAGAGGCTTCATGGAAAATCGCTGATACCTAATTTGGAAGTGGAAAAGATGAAAAATTGGTATTTGAAGTTTTAGAGCTGAGTAGTAGCCAAGCCACTTGGTGGGGTTCATGGAGAAATCCGATGTCGTGGGTGTATATTTTATCCTAAGAGTTGCTTTTCCTTTGGAATCCAAAACAAAAAGAAATCTGGGAAAACTAGGGATGCTTTTCCAAAATGCCCTATTCTCCTTTCTTTGATAGTTGAGTTTTTTTTGTAGGTCTTGGAAAAGAAAGTTTTCTTACTCGTGCCAATTTCACCAAGTCTCATATAAGAGCTCCTCCTTCCATAATGTGATGATGCAAATCCCCAGATGAGCATATTGGGTTTTGTGAATCACATTTCAGGCCATGCACAGACTCAATCATTTGACACCTAGTCCCAGTAGAGAATTTGCTGATTTGAGCTAATCTTTGCCTTTACACCATTCTCTTCAGTTCAGCTCTGAAATTCACAATTGATTTTTCTTACTTCTAGAACAACATCTATCATTGAGCTTGTGTTTAAATATCATTAGGCTCAAAACAAAAAAAGGGCTTAAATCGCAAATCATTCAGTGGTGCCTGTCAAAAAGCTCTTTCCTAAGTTTTTTCCACAGTAAAGTTATGAGGCTCCCCCAATCTTAGCCCTGTGTGTTAAGGGAAAAGAAAAGGACTGTGCCCAAAAGACAACTAACTGGTAAATCCACTCTCATCCATTTCCATGCCCCTTACCCACAAAGTAAAATATGGAGACAAAGTCTTTGCTTCAGTGACAGGAAAGGAGCGCCGCCTCCCTGTTGTTATCAGGCTAAAGCGCAGATCAGAAATTGGCAGTAATGCACCAGCTGAAGAAAACTCTGTATCACTGTGGTCAGGTGCAGCTGTCCCTTTCCCTCCGAGCCCTGACTAGAAGACAGAACGGACAATGCAGAGGAGCACCCTGAGGCAGAAACCTAATGTTAATCCACAGTGAAGACCAGGAACCTTTCTTGAGGAAAAAAAGACATTCATCATGCATCTCTCTATCATCATGCTGAGCCAAACTTGATCATGTGTAGGGCTCCCTGCATGCTACTAATGATTAAGTGTTCTGCTAGGGAAAGATCGGCTGCCCGAACCCACTCATAGGCTTCTTTTACATGTGGGAGCACCCTGAGTCAGGATCAGCTGAAGACAGCTAACAATAACGGTCTGTGAGGGCACTATTGGAAGCCTCCTAAATTCTCCTCAAACCCTTTAGTTGCTTGAAGCTTTGCATCAATCACACCAAGAAATGTGCCCTGGTGCATATGCTTTCTCCATTTCCTTTGTACTTCCTTTCTTGTCTTAGTTCCTGGTGGGGGCGCTGAATCGACAATCACTTCTACACCAGTGGTTCTCAGCCTTCCTGATGCCGCGACCCTTTAATACAGTTCCTCATGTTGTGGTGACCCCCAACTATAAAATTATTTTTGTTGCTACTTTATAACTGTAATTTTGCTACTGTTATGAATTGGGCGACCCAGTGAAAGGGCCTTTCGGCCCCCCAAAGGGTCATGACCCACAGGTTGAGAGCCACTGTTCTGCACGAATGTTTTTCTTTTCAAAATATTAATATATGAAAGTTTATTGGCATTTCTTAGGGCACGGTATCTTGTCACATTTTTGTATATGTGGGTTTACATTTCAGATCAACATTTTTGTATTCAATGACTTAAACAACTAATCAAACCTCTCAATCGCTTGTCCTGTCCCCTTCCTTTCTGTGCTCTTCTCCCTCTTGTAGAATACTAATCTTCCCCTTTAACCAGGTTAACGGCTGTCTGCCCACTGGTCCAGGGGTAGGGAGCCTATTTCCTACCAAGGGCTATTTGGATATTTAAGACATCATTTGTGGGCCATATAATTACCAACTGAAAGATAAGCCTTCTGTATCTGGTCAACATTTAATTAACTCACCTCTGACTTGATGGCTGGGACTGCTTTTCTTTGATGAGACTTGTGACTTTAGCTGGTATTGATGATCTCATGGGTGTTCATAGCCTGGGTGCTCCACATTCCCCACCCCTGCTCTAGGTTACTGCTTCCCTCCCTCCTTGGAAAACATCAAAGTCTGTTTCTTATGGTATGAAATCCTTTATCTTGATTTTTTTCTTTTGTAACTGGTTTCATACATTATTTATCCTTTTGTGATTGACTAACTTCACTCAGTGACCTCCAAACCCATCCGTGTCACAGTTTCATCATTGTTCTTTATTGATGTGTAGTATTCCATTGCATGTATGGACCAAAGTTTGTTTAACCACACTTCCACTGATGGGCTTCTAGGTTATTTTCATTTTCTTGCTTTTAGGAATTGTGCTGTGATGAACTCTGCTGCTTGTTTCTGTTGAGTGTACACCAAGTAGACAGGGATGGCTGGGTCTGAAGATGTGTCTAACATCCCAGCACCATGTCACTTTCCACAGGGATTGCACAGCTTTAGTTCCACTGTTTATTGCTGCCTGGTGAGCGTTCCCATCCTGTTGATCGTTCTCTCCATTTATGGACCTCTTGTTGCTCGTTTCAGAAAGATTTCCGAGTACAGGAACTCCCACTGGCTCGTATTAAGAAGATTATGAAGCTGGATGAAGATGTGAAGGTAAATTCACATTTATTTTTGATTTTTTATATTGAAGCTGAAATGATGGCAGGCCATTGTTAAGTTCCCTAGAGCTCACGGTTTAATTTTTTAAACGAAAGTGTTTTTATCATCGTTTTGTATTTGGTTCCTTTGTGAATTGTTTAGTGGGCTGAAATGGAACAGTTTTAATTATAATAGTGTGCTTCTCTAAAAATTAGGAATATCCTGCGTTTTTCCTTCCCCAGATGATGAAATAAAGCTCGGTATTTGTTTTTGAAATTAAGTGGTACCACTCAATTCCTTTCACAGTGTAGTGTAAACATCCATCATCAAATCAACCGGACAGTCCTGTCAGCTTAGCAACCAGCACAGTCCTTAGTTTGTCACTCCAAGCTTTAAGAAGTCTTTGATAATGCTAGGCACCTGTTGTAACCCTTTGATCTGTGGACTTTTTTTGCATGACTTATATTTGTAAGATGGTTAACATCAGGGTGACCATTTCAGTATTCCTAAGAGTCTACCTCCCATTAGGACTCTCTTGTTCTTTACCTCTCACAAAGACCTTTGTATTTATTTGTTCAGGAGGCTACTAGTTCACAGTAATTTTCCCTTTCATTGGCTCATTTCCTGCACCCAGTAACCCTGTGGGATTCAATAGCATAAGCATTATTTGTTCCATTTTACAGATCTGTAAAAAGACACAAAGAGGTTCAGTGACTCATCCAAAGTGGTAGAACCAAGATCCCAGTTCTCCTTATCTTCCACTTCTCTCCATGGCTCTTCTCTTGCAGATCACGTCACCAAGGGTTAAGAGCCGTTTCTGACTACCAACGTGCCTTTTGCAGTCAGACACAGCAGGGCAGCTTATAGTGCTTGAGCAATTACTATATGCCAGAGCCTCTGCTTGGTGCTTTTACCTACACTATCTCATCTGATTCCCACAGCAGTGTTGATAAATAGATTATTTGTTTGTTTATCTTAATATGTGTAAACAAAGCTCAAAGAATAAGCTGCTTCAGATTTTACTTTAATCTCTTGGCTCCCAAACTCATCTTCCTCACAAGTGAATTGAATGAATTGCCGGTGATTGATGGGGAAGGGCTATATCTGTTACAGATGATCAGTGCAGAAGCCCCTGTGCTCTTTGCCAAGGCAGCCCAGATTTTTATCACGGAGTTGACACTTCGAGCCTGGATTCACACAGAGGATAACAAACGTCGGACACTACAGGTAACACTACAGCCGCTATGATGGGGGAACTGAGACAAGGAACTTCTTTGTGGGCTTCTCATGTGTGGCTCTGGACCATAGGTTCCCAAACTGATTTGCCCTCTTGGTGGGTGGGTTGGGGGTCGGGGGAGAAATTACTCAGCACCCCCTCGGAAATTAAAAATTTTTGTACTATAGCCCATAACCTAGGATAATGTATAGGTATGTGCTTTTGCAGCCCTCTGGGTGGTCCCAGTGCTTCCCTCCCTACCCCCAGGGGGTGGTAGCACTTACTTTGGGAAGCACTGCTCTGGACCCAAGATGGTTCTTCCTTAGTTGCTGTGTAATTGAAATTAGCCTCTTCCTCCCCTGTTGGGAGACATACACACACATACTTTATACCTGTGGCCATAGTAGTTCTCCTCTATGGATCTTAATTTTTGTTTCTCCCTTGGTTTCCACAGCTCAGTGACTATTCACTCTGTGAACCCTCACTATAAACAGAAACACAGTGAATAATATTTGTTTCCACATCCAAACTTCTTGTTGGGAACATTGGGAGATTCCAGGAAAGGATAACCCCAGGAGAAGTTGCAGCTCAAGTCAGCTGGGAATTGTTTTCGAAGTCCCCCTGACTTCATCAGTCTTTCAGTTCTTTGTCTGCCTTTCTGGGGACCCTTTTCTCTTTTTCCTTTTGTTCATTAAATTGCTATTCACAGTGTGTGGAGAACTTTTGATTATTGACTTTGGAAGCCTTTCCCTCTGCAGCCAGACCCAATTCTTAAAAGAGGAAAGTTTCCCTAGGTATAAGAGGGAGTGTGTGACAGAGCAGACCAAAACCAAATCTCAGATTCAAGTTGATTCTGACTCAGTGACCCTACAGCGCAGCAGTTCTCAACCAGTGAGTCATGACCCCTTTGGGGGTCAAATGACCCGTTCACAGGGGTCATCTGATTCATGACAGTAGCAAAATTACAGTTATGAAGTAGCAATGAAAATAATTTTATATGGGAGGGAAGGGAGTGGGAAAAATGAGGAGCTGATACCAAGGGCTCAAGTAGAAAGAAAATATTTTGAAAATGACGATGGCAACAAATGTACAAACATGCTTGACACAATGGATGCATGTATGTATTGTGATTAAGAGCTGTCTGAGCCCCCAATAAAATGATAAAAAAAAAGAACAAGAAAAGATTTTATGGTTGGGAGGTCACCACAACATGAGGAACTGTATTAAAGGGTCGCAGCATTAGGAAGGTTGAGAACCACTGATGTAGAGACAAGATAGTGATAGTACTTTAACAGCAAAACAAAGAAAGTGAATTCTATTTTATCTTCAGAATTGAAAATGCATGTTATTTTTAGTCATTCATTCTACAGATATTTATTGAATACCCTTGATGTTCCAGACACTGTTCTCGGCTCTTGGAGATTTGACAAGACAGTGCACAAAACACAAAAATCCCTGCCTTTGGAGCCTTGTATTTTGGTGCAGCTAGACATTGTGAACTTAACCTTATGCTGCTTGGAAGTGAATGAAGTTTGAATTTAGAGCAGTGCTTCCCAAGCTAGGTGATACCACCCTCCTGACCCAGGGGGGCTGCAAAAGCAGATACCTACATTTTGTCCTGGATTATAGGCTATAGTATAAGTTTTTAATTGGTAAAGGGGCACTGGGTGTTTTTTGAAAAGGGGGCAATAGGGCAAATAAATAAGGGAACCTATGATCTGGAGAAGTCTAATTAAAGTCATCTTTAAGCTCAATATAGATTAACAAGTAAAGTAAGCAATATGTTTGAATGGGACATTAAAAAAGAATCCAGTGATTAATAGGCATGTGAAAAAACCCCCACAATATCATTAGTCATTTGGGGAACAAGAAAGCACTGTGAGATACTGGCTGTGCCCCCTACTTTTGCATGTTGTTCGGTGCCGTCGAGTCAGTTTGGACTCCTAGCAACAGTTAAAGTGCAGCAGAACACAACACTGCCTAGTCCAGTGCCATCCTCACCCTGTTGTTGTGTTTGAGCCCCATGTAGTGGCAGCCATGGTGTCAACCAGTTTTCTTTGAGGGTCTTCCTCTTTTTTTGCTGACCTTTACCAAGCACGATGTCCTCCGGGGACAGCCCGCTCCTGAATAACGTGTCCAAAGTACACGAGACAAGTCTTGCCATCCTTGCTTATAAGGATTGTTTTAGCTGTACTTCCTCCAAGACAGATTTGTTTGTTCTTTTGGCAGTCCATGGTATATTGAGTATTCTTGGCCAACACCCTCAATTCAGACTAGAATGACTAAAATAACAGACTTGATAATACCAAGTTTTGGCAAAGAAGCAGAGTAACTGAAACACATACTTTGTTGGTCAGAATGGAGGGCAGTATGGTCAGCTGTGGAAAGCCATATGGCATTTTCTAGTAAATTTACACATAACCTTAGCCTGTGACCGAGCCATTTCACTCTTCCGTGTATATAGGCAGTCTGTGGGTGGTGAACTTGCCCTTTGATGTTAAGTGTATTTGTCTTCACTTTGAAGTGATTGTACCAATCCCTGCTTGCCATAAATGTATCCAATAACTCATCATCGCCATCACCTTCACTTGCTGCACATAAAGCTTTTATTTAAATTATTGAAAAACTTCAAGCATTTCTTGCACTAGCCAACCAAAAACCAACCTCAGTGGCATTAATTATGATGCATAGAACAGTCCCACAGGGCTTCCACACCAGTAATCTTTACAGAAGCAGCCTGTGGGGTCGGTGGTGGTTCCAAACATGGACATTTTGGTTAGCGCTGAGCAGTTTGCCTGCTGTGCTACCAGGGCTCCTCTTGCATGGAAGGAAAGCTAAATTAGAGCCACATGCAGCTGCTTTGACTTGACCTGCAAATTCTTAAAGATGCACTTAGGAACAGATGTTGTGCCTAACCTGGGGACTACCTACACCCAAAAGAAGTGTGGATATACTGTATAAGAATATTGATAGCAACCTCATTTATAATAGCCCAAACCTGGAAACGAACAGTTTAAGTATCCATCATTAAGGGAATATGTAAACAAATCTTGGTGTCTTTGTGAAAAGGATTATTACTCAAAAATAAAAATAAACTATTAATCCACACAACATGAATGAATTTCAGAAATAATGTTAAACATAATAAACAAAGAGACAAAAATTACACGCGATATTACTGTGCCCACTTATGACTGTGGTGAAAGAAATCCGAGTTCTGGTTGCCTCAGATTGGGGTGTATTGATTGGAAAGACAAGAAAAGAGCTTTTGATATTTGAAAGTTGTGCAAATGCTTGCCTTTATCAAAATTCATTGAACTTCATACTTAGGATGTGTTCATTTTACCGTATGTAAGTATTCAATATTTGTACATATGTTACCATCATTTTCTAAATATTTACTTTCTACTTGAGTCTGTGGAGTATCAGCTCCTCTTTTTACCCCCCTTCTTGTGACCCCTTGATAAATTATAAATTAATATTTTCATATCTTACACTTACTGCTGTCTCCCTTCCCCTGTGGTTTATTAGCATTTTAAAGGTATAATAAAAAATTGTAGCAGATCAATTCAAGTATAACCGATTTTAAAATATTGTAGAACCTTTTGGTATATGTTGAGAAGTTTTATTATTTCTCTCCACACTCCTTCATTCCATCCATAGATGAGCCATTTGGATATGTGTGAGTAGGTGACGACATCGGGAATGTAGTACTGTGTTGTACTCATCTAAAATGAGCCCTGGCAGTGTTAAGACGTGCCCTGCTTCAGTTTGGAAGGCGTATTATCACGCTGGTGGTTGGCAAGAAGGGTAGATGGTAGTCTTGTGTTTCAGTGGCGTGGGGCCATCACAGCACGGGAAGGAAACAGCAGAAAATTCCCATCCCCTCCTATTTTGTGCCCTGAGTCTCCGTTTCTTAAGATTGTAGTGCGCAGTAGTTGCTAAATATTTCTGCTCATGTGTTGACTTTCTGCTCTACATTTTAGTATGAAAAATTTCAACATAGGCAGATTTGAATTTTACTGTGAACACCTGTATACACCACCTAGCCCTACCATTAGTATTTTACTATGCTAGTTTTATCCCCATAGCTGTCTAGCCCTTCTTCAGCTGTTAACTCACCTTTTTTAAGCCTTTCAAAGGCAAACTACAGTTTTCTCTACATCAGCATTCATGAGATGTCAATATTTTTCCTCTAGATTTAACATTTTCATACAGGGAAATACATACATTCCAATTTTTTTTCTCTTTAATAACTGGTTAGTAATTCACAATATGAAGATTCAATTGTATTCCCTTTTAAAAGAGACACTACCACGATTACCTCACAAATTCATGATTGAAGGCAGAGTTCCAAAGAGCAGGTGTGCTAAACAGTGCTTCAAGGCTCAGACACTGCGCAGCTTGGTTACGGATGTCTCTGACCGGTCAGCAGGAGGGAGCAGAAACATGAGGGGCAGTCGGAGGACAGGGTGCAGCTGCTGGGTCATGAGCACCCTGAAGCATTTCTTGATGGTGATTCTGTACCTCAAGTATTTGTTTTCTGGGGAGAACCGAGCAGGATGGACCGAACAGGTCTGCCATCCCAAGGGGTGCAGCTTCTTCAGTGTATACACTCGGTCTCCCTCCTTGTTAAGATAATACTGGGGAAACATGATCATGCTTTGCCAGATAATATCCAAAATACCTACGTAGTGGGCCTGCAACTTGGTCGACTCAACTGTCTCACGTGTTTGTAAATTTACGTACATTTTTTTAAAAGTATACACAGTGTGATGGTTTTTGATAGAAATCTCAAAATTTTACTCTCGACAGAAAGCACCACACTTGAGAGAAGCAGCTGTAACTTCAGTACCATTCGTCAGTTGACTCCTGTGTTCTTTACGGACGTCTGGCTCTATTCCAGGAACTTTAGGCTTCATATAGTCACACCTTATTGTGCCAGGTTTAAACCATAGATTTAAGTGAGGGCTGGAATTCTAAAATAACCATAGCTGTGGTGGGAGCTAATGTATAGAACCACTGAGTAGAAAATGTTACAAAGAGTTGTTGAATTGGAGTTTCAGCCTAAGCAACTCCAAATAGATTCCGCTTGTGTAAACCGCAGAAATCAAATACTGTGTAGGAACTACAGAGGCCCTAGGATGAATGATATAGCCTAATGATGATCAACCACAGAATGAGCAGAAACTTGCTGCTAGTTGAGGTAGCTAGAGTTGCACCATTTTCTCCGGAGGATTTGAACAATTAGGAGACAGGATCCAGAGGGCAGTCGTGACTGCAGAGCCATATTATTTCTCTGATAGAGTCAGAGCATCACATACCTCTGCTTTCTGTCCATGTCTGTCCCCACGTCAGAACATCTAAAACATTTGGCTGCGTGTGAGCGAAAGACTCAGCCCATGGCTCGACAACCTTCTTCTTACCTTACTCGTAATGTGGAAGGCATAAATTCTAGTGAGCTAGTTTCTCCCAAGGCTAACTTTTTACTCTGCTTTTCTTTGTTAACAGAGGAATGATATCGCCATGGCAATTACAAAATTTGATCAGTTTGACTTTCTCATCGATATTGTTCCAAGAGATGAACTGAAACCTCCAAAGCGTCAGGTGAGCTTGAAAGGCCGCTGCCCTGCTGACTGCAGCGCCGCTACGTACCGGGCCAGCCGTGCTCCTTTGCCTTCCCTTGTAGCACCAGCCATTGCTCTTCTTCCTGCTCGCTCCTCTTACCCTCGACGTCACTTTCTGTTACTCATGTATGGGTACTTTTAACTCAGGGCCTCAGAGGTGGACATACAGAGAATGGGAAGAAAAATGAAAGAATGTATTTACAAATAGTAAGGAAAGCACATGTCAAGATACCCTAGGCAATCAGAGACAATCTGACAGGGGAAACTTCGTTCCCAGCAAGTGACTGTATACACTCGAGTATAAGCCGACCCAAATTTTACCACAAAAACTGCATAAGAAATGTGCTAAACACTCGGCTTATACTCGAGTATATAAGGTATGAATTTGAGAATTTTGAGAAACCCCTTCTCTATGTGCACAATGGTGTTTGGGGTGAATAGGCTTCTGCTTTTGCTTATGTGAGTTACATAGTGTCCTAACTGCACATTAGTCACCTTTTGGGGTTTACAAAGCACCAGTGCCAAGGCTCCACCCCACACCATCTGCATCTAAACCTGTAAGGAGAACACTGTCATCAGTCATTTTTTGAACTTTTCATGTTTTTTTAAGTGTGCAACCAAAATTGAGGACTGCCACTTAAGCAGCTTTAGCTAAGCAATAATAAGAACGAATAGCGTGTCGGTTTTTCTCCCTCTCTTTTGCCCGCCCTTCTCCAAAGGTCAGACTGATGGAGCCAGCACCTTGAGTCCCATAGCTCTTAATTGCAATGGTAACAGACCCTGCCTGTCCTTTTTCTCTTGAGCGTGTTGTTGTAGGCATCCAGATTGCATGATGAGCTGTGTTAGAAACATGGGGCAATGTGAAAGCGCCTGGCAGGAGCAAAGCTATGCCTTGTAATGCTTGCTGGATTTTGCTAGTATAATACAAAAATTTGTTTCTTTTTTTAATGAATGATTTTGTAATACATTATCCTTAGAAACACTCAGTGACAACGTTCCCCCATCTGTCCTGTGTCAGTATGAGAAAATATAGGCAATGTGTGTATCCTCAAGGATATCTGTAGCCCTGAAGCATCATGGGGACCATTGGGTTAGCAAGCCCTCCGTTACCTCCTTCCTAGAGCAGAGTGTGCCTCCTGGCGTCTCCGTTCTTTCTGGGCAGTCTTTGCTACTGTAAACATCCTTGACTGGAAGCTGTAAGGTGTTCAGAGGAGCTTTCAGTCGGATGTTTACAGCGGCAGGCTGCCACAGTCATCCCTGGCTGCGCATCAGCTTTGAGTCCTCCTGGGGGCTTCCCTCCTCTCTGAGATGCCACTGCAACAAGAGCTCAGACCACTTCTCTTCTTCAAAACAAATGATGCCACACACCTGTTCTCCTTGTCTGCATTTGTTTCTTCCTCCCCCGAAGTAAGATGGTGACCTCTAGAACAATGCAGTTGTGCACACTGTCAGCATGCACACTCCTACCTGCTCTTTGTGGGCTCCCTGCTGAATAGACAGCCTGGAGAGAAGGGCCCTGTCCTGTCCACTCCTCCAAAGGCCCCAGTGCTTCTGGCTCAGAGTGTTGGGTAGTGCCTCATTCCATCTGATCTATCTCCTTTTTAAAGTGTGGCCAGCTGAAGCAGCTCCTTGCTGCCCGGGGTCAGTTCTTTGTAGGTGTTCAAGCCATTGATTGGTGTCCTACTTGGGACAGCCTTTGAAAAGTTGAGATTGCTGAAAGCTGGCCTGAAATTCAAAGATAACACTTTTAATTCTCTGTAGACATGAAGTTTTCCCCTGTTCCAAATTGGCTGGCACCTCCTTAAGTCCTTTAAAAGCGCCTACTCTCCAAAACGCACCCTTTCTGGAGGAGGCAGCAGTTCACTCTTGTTACCACAGCGAATGCATTTTTTTCCCCCAGTGTGGGGCTGCCTTCATGACACGGTCGTGGTGGCCTGAGGATGTGATGAGCCTCATCATTTTCGGCCATGGTTTATCTGCCTCCACTTCTGAAAAGACAAGAGTGAGCCATCTGGGTGGGGGACCACTGCTAAAGCTGGACAGGTATCCCACTCTGGATTGATCAGTCATTCTGGGCTTGTTCTATCACTTCGGATGATGGCCCACAAGGATGCTGGAGAAAGGACCTCATCAGAAATACTGAGATGTGGGTCTAAGGCACTTGCTTTCTCTTGAGTATGCTCAGGGAAGTGGCCCTTGTTCTTTAGGGAAGAAGTAAAGACTATGAGAGCAGAAGGTAGCTGTGGCCTGACTTCTGCCCCACTAAAGCTATGAGTTGAAAGTTCCTGCCCATTGGAGTGTCATTATCTCTGCACCCATTTCTTTAAACCAAGCATAATCATTTCCTTGCTAGCTTGATCTCCATTGGCAGAATCAGTCTTCATGATACAGAAGAACTTTAAACACACATTCCATTCTAATGATTTAAGAACAGTCATTCCTTGTCCCAACATTACAAACCTACTTGATCCTCACACAGTGTCCTGTACTTTAGTTCTAAGGTACCTCCTGCCTGGTTCCCATAGTAGGGTTGAGGAGGAAGCATAGGAGAAACTATTTATTGGTTCTCACAGCTTTTGACATAGCATCTGGAAGGGGTGGAGTATTTGAAGGGCTTGGTTTTTGTCTGGCAAAATAACCACATTCATTTCCAGACCAGCTTGATTCAGGGCACACTGGGGACAGAACAACACCTGATCAGGCCTGGTGTCACCTTGTCTGCCGAATTCTTGCAAGTTGATTTGGGGGTTCTCATCCCTCTTGACTTGCTCCTCACCCAAGAGTTTTTCTGAGTTAAGTTTAGTGATTGATGATTTTATGAAGTGGGAAGGGGGAAAAAAAATCTCAGTGGGAAACTGAAAACACTGAACTGATTTCAACAGCTTTGAAAAAGAGCTGTCAGCTTCTGTGTTATGGTAGAGGAGGATAACAATATTTTGTCCTTGCTTCATCCAAGAGTTAGTTGACAGGCCAACCTTTGTTTGCAATGGTGAAAGGGAGCTGACATGGTCACCATTAGGTTGCTCTGGAAACCGAGCGCTAGATGAAAAGGAAGCAGGGGTGGGTGCCTTTGCCCCTGCCTCAGCATAATCATGTGCGGGGTTAGGGATGTTTCAATCTGAAGCACCAGAATATATTAACATAGAATGTTGGTGCATGTATGAAGACATGCTTAGATACCCAAGATGTGTCATTGTCTGCTGAGTGGATAGCCATCAGGGAACCTGTCATGCAAAGACCCTGATTTCTCAGAGACCTTGACTTCCAGCTGTCCCAGTGCTAGTATCCTGGGCCTTCAGACATAGGACAAGCAAAAGCATGCCCCATCCCTGTCGCAGGGGACTTCAGCTTCTCCCCAAACTATAGCTATGGAACCCTACTGGTTGTAAGAACGTTTAGGGACTCTATTGTTGGTACCCACGATTGGGTTTAAGAGAATTTGTCATACTACCAAAAAGTACTTTACAGAAAAACCTCCAATAGTCTGCCGGCCTTTATAATTCCATCTATAAATTAGTAAGCACTTGCCTATTTACAGGGGAGTGGTAGAGACCATGGGGAGCAAGAGAAAACTAGGCTTTGCCCTCACAGGACCTATATCCTGGAGGGGAAGGCAGTTAATTTGACAGGCAAGTACAAGAATGTATGATGGTGTGTGTATAGGTGTTGCGGAACCACTGATTGGGGCGCCTAGCCAGTGTACCACCTCTGTAAATGTCATTTTGCAGGATTGTGAGGCAGCCCATGGTGTCCCTTACCTTGAGGAAGTACTTGTCTTCTTTTCTGAAAGCATTGTTGACCCTGGCAAAGGAAGTAAATAAACTTGACTAACGTTTTTATTCAGATGCCAGTCCAAGTGGTTGTATGTTTTTGTTGTTTTTGTTGCCCCAGGAAGAGGCACCATGTGTCACAGGTCACTCCGGAGCAGACACCGATTTCTGTGTCAGTGGACGTGAACTGGCCAGTCCCAGACCCTCCCGGCCGTCACCATGTTGTAGTGTGTGTAAACATCCTACACTCTCAGCTGTGAGCTCAAGGTGGCTGGGAGAGGGGTGTTTACTCCTGCTGCCGTGGAAATCGTCTTCTGGAGAAGGAGCCGCCTCTTCACCCACAGATGGCAGCTTGCGACCTCCCTAGTCAGCCAAGGCAGCACCCAGAGCGTACTGCCCATCAGGCCCCTGGGTTGCACTTCAATAGCTAAGTATGACCAGAACCAGATGGCCCCCAGTGACCAGTCTCCAGTGTGTGGTGAAAAGCTGAGCCCTTGTCCACCAGTGCTCTTGATCCTAACACCTGCCCCTGGAAAACTTGTCGTTCTCTTCCCCCACCCTTCCCCATCCCCACTGAGGGCTCTGTCCTTCCTGAGGCGGAGGGAAGAAAGAACGGCCAGCACTGTTGAGAGCCGTGGTACTTGGGGAGCATCTTCCCAGAGCTTGCAATTAGCTCTGTTCTCAGATCATGGGTCTTGACAGCATTTACTGACAAGCACGGCTGGTGCGTGGTTTTTAGTTATGATAATTGTTTGCCCATTTGCAACTCATTAGGCAATGAGTGAATACTCTGTACTTCAGAAAATGGACTGTATGTTTTGTGAAGCCTCTGGAATCTGTTATTTTTAGTTTGATTTAGCACAACTGGTCTCTTCAAATTCCACTTTCCCTTGGCTTCAAATGTGGAGAGCTCAGCATTCAGCAGGCAACTGCATGGATCCTGTCTGGGGAAAGAGTGGAAATTCACTGCGCGGCTGCTGAGTCGGCGCTTTTCCTCTTACCTGCCTCTCCTTCCACCCCACAGGAGGAGGTGCGCCAGTCTGTGACTCCTGCTGAGCCTGTCCAGTACTACTTCACGCTGGCTCAGCAGCCCACCGCCGTTCAAGTGCAGGGCCAGCAGCAAGGCCAGCAGACCACCAGCTCCACCACTACCATCCAGCCTGGGCAGATCATCATTGCTCAGCCTCAACAAGGCCAGGTCTGTGAGCTGCTAGGGATGCCCACCCAGCAAGGCTGTGCTGCGCTCTGGAGTGTGGCCAGCTGGATTGGGGCAGAGAGGCCCCCTGGTCATTTTGGAGCCCAGGCCATGAAATCTGCAACCCCCGGCTCTTCTTAGGCTCAGCCACTGAGACCCAAGAGTTACCCTCATCTCTCTGGGCCTCAGTTTCTTTGTGACTCAAGTGAGGAGAGTACTGAGGACAAAGTGTTCTCCAGGATCGGGAAACTTATCTAGAAGGCCCCTAAAGGGGATGAAGAGATCCCTTTAGAAGCTGTTATAAATGGATTCTCTGCCTCCTCTGTGTCTCCCCCAGAATTGGAATGTCTGCCTTTTTAAAAGGGAGCTCAGGCTTTATTGCCAACTCACTTCCCTCTCCTCGGCCCCTTGATCGCTGCACCCCCTATATGTATGGCAGGTGACCTTTTGCACTATCATAGTAACCAGAGGATTCTCCTCCTCCCCAGAGCATAGTTGAGAGAGCAGTAACAAACATGTTTGCCTGAGAAACGAGAAGCTTTAGAGAACCCCAGCCTGCACTCTGAATCCAAACTGCGACCTTTCCATCTGTTTGTTTGTTTATTTATTTATTTATTCGCCAAATAGGTGTTGAACACCTCTGGATTAAAATCCTTGGCGTGACTAAAGTAGTCTCTGTTTTCAAAGAACTCACACAAAGACTATGTCACCATATGAGAAATGTAAAATGGAACTGGGCATGGGACATCAATGGGAGTGCATCAAAAGGGGGCACCTAACAAAGATGTAACAAGGGGCTGAAGAGCATGCCAGGGAGAGTACCCCAAGGGGATAATTTGTGTCCTGGAGGGTGCAATGGGAGTTGATCACGTGAGGGGGGAAGGAGCTATCCCCAGTGGAGGGCCCAGCATGCTCAAAGGCTTGGAGGTGTGGGTGGGCACAGGGAGTGACGAGAGAGTGCCTTCAGCCCGGGGCAAGGATTCGGCACGGCAGGGAGGAGGCAGGTCCCAACCTGCACAGCTTTTTTTTTTTTTTTAATCATTTTATTACGGGCTCATACAACTCTTAACACAATCCATACACACATCAATTGTGTAAAGCGCATTTGTACATTCATTCTCAAAACATTTCCTCTTCACTGAAGCCCCTGGCATTAGGTCCTCATTTTTCCTCTTCCTCCCCGCTCCTCCCTCCCTCATGAGCCCTTGATAATTTATAAATTGTTATTATGTCATATCTTGCCCTGTCCGACGGCTCCCTTCACCCATTTTTCTGTTGTCCGTCCCCCAGGGAGGAGGTCACATATAGTTCCTTGTAATCGGTTCCCTCTTTCCTACCCACTCTCCCTCTACCCTCCCAGTATCACCACTCACACCACTGGTCCTGTAGGGATCATCCGCCCTGGATTCCCTGTATTTCCAGTTCTGATCTGTACCAGTGTACATCGTACTCTGTTCTAGCCAGACTTGCAAGGTCGAATTCGTGTCATGATAGTGGGGGCGGGGAGGAAGCATTTAGGAACTAGAGGAAAGTTGTATTTTTCATCGTTGCTACATCGCACCCTGACTGGCTCGTCTCCTCCCCAAGACCCCTCTGCAAGGGGATCTCCAGCCTGCACAGCTTTATGTGTTTGCTGGGTAGGAGTTGGGCTTCATTAGGAGAAAAAAAATGTCTGGGGAGGTGAGTTATAAGTAATAATTGTGATTGTAGGGTTTAATCTTTGCTGTTCATTTATCCAAGTAACAGCATTTACTGGGTGCTTGTTCTGTGCTAGATACTGTGCTAGGCCGGGAAGGGCTTCAGAGTGGTCTCAGCCCAAGCCCTGCCTCCAGGCGTACCCTACCCTGGGGAGCCTAAGGGAGTTTCTCAGGGCTAGTGCATTGGCTTTGCAATGGTGGGAGCGGTACCTGCCAACATATTAGCCCTTTCCAGAGCAAACTTCAAGAGAGCCTGCCTATGATTGGCTGATCGTTCTTCCTAAGAAGCTCATGGATGCTTGGCCTCTGACAGCAGGGGGTTCCATAACAGGATTTGACAGCTGCCATGCTAACACAAGCCCTCATTTTCCTGAAATGGTTTAGAAATACCTCGGAAATGCTCTTGGGAAAATTGGGTTGATACAGTACAGTGATGAGTTGGCAGATGCGTTTTTTGTTTTTTTTAAGTCAGCGAGAATTCCATCTTTTCTGTTAGCTGCCTGCTCTGCTCAGAGCTGGTAGGGTTTGTGAGGGCAGTGAGTTAGGCCCCTTGGCATCTCAGCGGTTTTGCGGGTGTGTTCCTTTAGGGTGGCCCCACGCTGGATAGCACCTTCCCCAGAACTGGGATCATGGGTATGTCCAGGGCACATACCTTTGGCAGGAGAGAATATATATGAAAGCAAAATTGGAAGGAAAGCAAGTGTATTTCTCAGAATGAATTCTGTATTTTCTGGTATAAAATTAGAAACTTTTTTCTGAGTTGAAAATCCTGGTACGAGAATGACAGAGATGTTCCTTGTCATCTTAGTCTACTGCATGCATTCAACTAAGGTCTGTTGGTTGTCTCTCTTCCCCATTCTCCAGTTGGTAGTGAATTTCTCTGTACCTAGTAATCCTTTGGATCCTTCTCAGTGGTTCTCAGAACTACTACATTCCCTTTTCTTTTCATTTTAGATGCATAGTTTCAATGTCCAGTAGCTCTATGCTGCCAGAGCTTGAGAACATCCAGATAGCAGTATGGATTGAAGCGTCTTTTCACCCTCATTCCAAGTGGGGAGAGAGCATGTCCAGATGGGAGGGGTGGGAGTACAGGTGTAGCTTTAAAGCAACCCCTCGCCCCCATCCATGGAAAGGGACTCAGATCAGCTGGGCTTCCTGCTCTAGGGAGGCTGCTAAAGGTTCATCAGGACTTATGCTTTGGAGAGTCGACGGAATGATGGGCCCGTTTGACTGTGCAGGTCTTGATTATCTGTCAGAGGAGCAAGGACTACAATCTGCCGAAATGGTTGAGGCACAGAATTTGCCAAGCCATATGTGTTAGACGGAAAGTCCTTATAGCTAGGCCTCCTGGTTCTAGAGAGTTAAATTCTCTAGCTGGCCTCACATAGCGGGCAGCTAGTGTGTGACCTAGGAGAGCACATCTTTCCTCTGGGAGCTGTTGTGGGGCAGAACAGCACCTGACTGGAGGGCCAGGCCTTGGGGTGCCCCAGGAGCTTGCTTTTCTTCCGGGCCTTGCATGCCAGAGGAAGAAGGTGAGGGCCCTCAGCTTAGGGTTAGTCAGTATTGACCCCACTTCCCACCTAGTTTGGCCTTCCAAACTCACTTCCTCCACACTTGACTTTGACTATTTCTCCAGCCAAGGAGCATGGCTGCTTTCGAGTGTTTCTGCACCATGTAAGCCTTGCCACATTGGAGGGTTTGTGAAAAGTTGAGGTACTTACAGGTCTAAAGATTGTGTATTTGGGGCCTAAGCAAATAGTCTCTACTGTCAGCCTGAAAATCTGATGGGCTTTTCTTTCTCGCGTTTTATTTTGAAGAGTGACTAGCAGCGCTCTGAGCCTGCAGGACTATGGAGGTTAACTAGGGTTATTAGTGTTGAGGTGAGTTCAGGCATTAATGGAGGGCGTTTGCTCTACTAATAAAAATCACGGCTCAGTATTAATCCTTGGGTCATTCTACTAACTCTGAGCTCAGCCAGCCTTCTCGTGACTCTTCCTTCTAGAGCACGCCCGTGACGATGCAGGTTGGAGAAGGCCAGCAGGTGCAGATTGTCCAGGCGCAGCCTCAAGGCCAAACCCAGCAGGCCCAGAGCAGCACTGGGCAGACCATGCAGGTGATGCAGCAGATCATCACGAACACAGGAGAGATCCAGCAGATCCCGGTAAGCCTGGCTCAGGGCCTGCACTGCCACTGCAAGGTTCTGTGTGCACAGAGGACTCTTTCCTTCCTCCCTCCTCCTAGTCTATTCCCGTGACTCCCCAGATGGCCAGCTTCACTCTGTTTACTCCCCGTTTTCTTTACTGAGCTCAGCGTGGTGGGGCAGCTCCTCTTGATCTCCTCTTGGCCTCTGCAGAGCAGCCGCTGTAACTTCTATCTCTTGCCAAGGCCCGAAGGTCCTGTGAGGCAGTCCCATCTTTGGCTTTGTGGAGACTAAGAGGGAGGTGTCTAGGGAACACCATAAATACACTTGTTGCATATTCATGAGTCAATTCCCAGTGGAGCCTGCAGTAAAGTGTATTTTTGGCTTTCCTTTAACTTATCCATTCCTTCACTGTGGACTGCTACTTCCTGTATGCCTGGAGGGATTTCATTTCTTAGGTTTGTTGGCTTTTCCACTTGTATTTGTTCTTTTGTAAAGAATGTCCTTGCCTTAACACTTGCAGTCTGTACATTGGTCACTTTGCCACCAAAAATGTGAAGAGAGAGACACTAGTGGTCCTGTTTCTCATTCCTTCCTCTTCCCACTAAATGAGATAGAGGCAAGTCTAGAAACTTACTTGGACTTGGCTTACCATTTTCCTGTTCCATAAAATCTCAGAAGGACCATCCTCAGCCCTGCTTGAGAGGCTGTTGTGTTCATTCCGTTAACACATGAAGTGGGCCAAGAGAAGACTTCTCGCTCCCACTCACACTCTTGTACGAGCCCCCCCCCCCAACTGCAGGTGACCAGACTGCTCTGCCTCATTGTTTGAGCCACCACCAAGCCCAAGGGCTCTCTCTGAACTCATTCTTACTTTTCCTTATGAAGGCCACAAATGAGTTCCCACAATGCAGTGACTTTAAATACACGTGTTTGAACCCTCTGGTGCACAGTTTCGCCCAGAGAATGTGTTGCAGGACTCATGCCCTGTCTCCTGGTAGAGAATGTGTTGCAGGACTCATGCCCTGTCTCCTGGTCTCCAACACCTTCTGCAGCAGTCTGCTCTCCAGACAGCTCTTAGAGCACTGCCCATGTTGTTGGTCAGCTTTGGAAGGACACTTGGCTTCCCTAGGAATGTGAGATACCTAACCAAAACCTAAAATAAGAGGATCTTGCATTTGCTAAGAATGGCTTGGCATCATTTGACTGTTTCTCATTCACGTGATAGTGGCTTTAGCAAAGAACTCAGAAAATGTAAAATCCTGCAGTTCTCAGGACACCACCTGGGATAAGGCTTCACTCTGTCATCTTGTGACCCTTGGCTAGATTTCTGGTGACTTTTAGGACCAGCCACTGTCACTGCTGGCAGATGAAATTTCCCATCCCTGTACCCAGCTACTTTCTTTCCCACCAGAAGCTCAGCATTGCTGGCTGTAAACGCTTTGTGGGATTTAGGTTGGGAATTTGGATTTGGTACCACAGCCTCTGTGTAGCTCCTTTTACTGTGGTCTCAGGAGTGAGCTGGCTGCTGGTCTCAGTGCTCTTACCCTCTGTCCTCTGAAGCAGATGCTTAACAGGCTCAGAAAACACACACACACACACACACACACACACATCTCCCACCCCCAAATCTTGCCTCAAATTGACAATTCTGGAAGGGTCTAGCACAAACTTCAGAGCTAGTTCCGATTGTCTCTGAGGTCTGACATTTCAGAGATGCAGCTTGCTTTCCCATGCAGAGGTGGAGCTTTATCTTGTCTTGAGTTTTCCGCTGCAAAGTATAACTTGCCTGGCTGCTGGGCGGCTTGTTCTTGAAGGAGGCAAGCAGTCCAGGCAGGCAGGTAGACCTCATCTGCTTGTGTTCCTGGAGCCTCTCTCCCCCCAGTCCTGGGTGTGGGTGCCTGCCACCCTCCTCTCACATAGTACTGCTTGGGCCCCTCTTCATCTCCAGGTTGGGAGCACCGATACTTTAATGGTACACTGAACCACGGCGAGCCTGCGCTAAGGCTTTTAGCACACAATTAAATGCAACATGTGGTATTATTGTATTATCTGAGACTTAATTGTAAGCTTGAGGGACTCTACAGGCATTTCTGTTGCTTTGGTTCCCCATGATGGGGTTTTCTGTGAAAGGCTTATTGATTCAGCCTTCCCCTGGGAGGCGTTTGGCCAGAACTCGTGCTGAACACCAAAGATCCTAAAAGTCCCACAGACCCCGCTGGCCCCGGCCCCTGGGGACAGCCAGCCAGAGTAAAGCTGAGCAGCTTTTTCTTCCATAAGCAGCCTGGGGGTGGAGTGGGGCATTGACCGCCTGCTTTGGGCCCCTGGCCCAAAGGTCTTCTCAGAACTGGATGGGTGACCTGTCAGCCCTAGAGCTGGGGTGAGGCAGGGCAGGGCAGGGGTGGAGATGAAAGGAAAGAACGCACACTTCAGGGGCAGGCACTGGACCGAGTGAGGAGGACGAGCCCTGCTGCTCTCGTGTCGATGAGAAGTCCTCTGGAGTCTGTTCAG